TTTTGAGTCCCTGCATGCTGCTCAGCAGGAAGTTCAGCTGGAAGCTGAGCAGGATCAAATCCAGCTTTTTCTCTCTCTCTCTCTCTTTTTTTTTTTTTTGAATTGTTTAATTTTTAAAAAACTTTTTTTTTTTTATCTACACAGAGAAATTGAAAACTGCAAACATCTGCTGTCTACTAGTTGACTCCCCAGTGGGCCATCATAGACAGGGCAAGAAGAGAATTGGCTTAAGGGAGGGGCTGTTAACACCCTTCCAGGCTATGTAATGGGAAGCAGTTGGATTAAACTGAATTTCATTCTTTCTTTCTTTTTTTTTTTTTTTAATTATTTTAATACTACAAAGTCAGGAGGAAAGACGGAAAGGAAGATTTTGCATCCAATGGATTCACTCCCCAACTGAGCACAAGGGCCGGTTCTGCGCCAATCCAAAGCTGGGAAAAGGAACCTCTTCCTTGTTTCCCACGCGGGTGCAGGGTCCCACAGCTTTGGGACATCCTCAACTGCTTTCCCACTCCACAACAGGGAGCTAGATGGAAAGTGGAGCTGCCGGGATTAGAACCAGTGCCCATATGGGATCTCAGCGCATTCAGGATGAGGACTTCGGCCGCTAGGCCACGTAGCTGGGAATACACTGAATTTCCTATACTGAACTTCATAAAAAATGACTTTAAGAAGATATGTTTGTCATAGACTGGACCTATGCAGTAGATTATGTACAGGAAAGTTCTGTAAATTCCTTTCTTTCAACCACAAATTTGTGTATATCCATGACTATAGTAATCCTAACCTAGGTGATGCTAATGATGCATCTGGGGATACTTGATGTGACAGAGACACAACAGCATCTTTCTGTGTTTTAGTTCCATGAATCTGTAGCTCAAGGATTTCAGGAGATGGGTAGACCCGATTTTCTATGTCTGATGAGTGATGATTGGTGGGTGTGTCAGGTGCAGGTGAGGATGCCAACCTACCAGGATGGCATCCTTTTCATGCAAAGAAGAGAGACTGTGGGGATAAACCATTCTCCCATGGGCAGAAGGGTATATATTGGGATGCTGTACTGCCTGACATTGTCTGTACCAACAATGTCAGGGTACACTTAAATAAGAGATTAATAGAATTATGATTGTTATGAAGGACTACACTATTGTAGTAAAGTGGGAAAATCTGTAGGGGGCGGGAGCTTGAGGGGGTGAGTCTCAGCCTATGCAAAATTGTACCACATAATTCAGAATTTGAAATAACAATATATTTTTAAAAAATTAAACAACCAAATATAATATAAATAAATAATAAAAATATACATAAGTGCATGAATAAATGTCAAAAAGAGAGAGATTTAGGTTTCTAAATCTCTCTAGTGTGAGGGGTCGAAATGTCATTTTGTCTTGGAAATAGAGGGTGATTTCCCTTCTCCTTGGAGAAATAAATCAATAAATGACCATTATCTACATTACATAAGAGATTTAAACCAATTTAGCCAAAAGTGTTACAACTCTTCTAATTCTTTCATAAGTATGACATATTGCAACCCCCTTTCTGTAATTTGATAAGACTTTCTAACAGTTTAAAATTTCAGATAAACGTTTAATATTTTGGAGTGTAATGTGAAGTGAATATCAGTTGATGGGATGAGCTTAAGCAAAACAGGGAGGCTGTTAAGCCAGTCCTCCTGCATGATTTCAGGGCAATATCCTCATTCTTTCTAACTGGAATTACACCCAATAGGACAGTGTGGGTGTGGTTAAAGGGCTCTATATAAAGACCACAAGGAGGTAGGCTCACATTTCTCCACAGGTGACAGGCTGGCTTTAGGAGTAGCTCCAGAGACTTCTGAAAAGTTGGGGTGCCTGGAGCTGACTTCATCTCCTTACTTGTACAGGAAGCAGTCAGAGGACCACACAGAGACTCTCTGGGTAAGTACAGCCCTGCTACTTTCCCCAAACAAAAACGTTCAACTTGTCAAAATGCTGAGCTAGAGTCTGTAAAGGGATGCTGCTTACCTATCGAGGAAAATTATTCCAATTGCTAACCCTTCCATTTGTTTCAAATTTTGTATTGCTGTATGCTTTGGGTCAAAAGTGGTGAGTAGTTTTACTTTTTCCAGTTCAGTGCTTAGATGTTTCTGTGCAGTAGGACTCAGCAAATTGTTTTCAGATGCCATAGAAGTTCATTCATTTATCTCCAAGGCAGAGATAAAGGAGGTGACCACAGAGACCGCCAGTCTTGTTCATGCCTCAAATGGCCAGCAAACTACTCTATCTGGGTCTCTTGCACTGAGTGGCACAAGCCTAAACGTTTGGACTGTATTTGGCTTTGTTCCCAGCCACAATGATAGGGAGTTGGATTGGAAGTGAAGCACCTACCAACTGAGCCATTACACATGTGGGAAACTATAGGAAGAAGCCTAACTTACTATGCGGGAATGCTAGACTAACATGAGATAGCTTGTTTAAACTTTGTTTTATTTTCTATTGGAAAAGCAGATTTAGAGAAAGTAGACAGATAGAAACAACTTCCATTCACTGAGTCACTTCTGAAGTGGTTGCATTGGTCTGGTCTTAAAGCAACCTGAAGCCTGGAACGAGGAGCTACTGTGTCTCACACTAGGGGGCAGGCTCCCAAAATTTTGGGCTATCCCCAGGTACTTTTGAAATTTGCTGAAGATCTTTGCTTTTTACTCACTATATTTCAAACTTACTGTAGGAAAGCAGTAACAATAGTAATGTGAGAATGGCATTGCATGACTGTCTCAGATTTGTGTTCTATACTAAAATTTCTACCATTATTTTCCTGTCTATTCCTCCTATGCATAAATAAAAAGTGCACTAGAGAGCAGTTTGTGGTCTTACATGCCCAGCAGCTTAATGCAGCTCATGTTTGCTCTCTTAATTCATATACTCACAGCACTTATAGCATTCTGTTGCTGGGAAAAACACGCTATATAAGGTTCAGATTTAGGACTTGATGTAGAGACACATTACATGGATCACAGACTTGTGCTTCAGGTACTGTTGTGTGTGTTTTTTGGTATGAAATGAGGACCCACATTTTAGGCAAATACAGGATTTTTTATATTCTTTTGTTTAAACCTTTACTTTTTTCATTAGAAAGGCAGATATACATGCAGATGAAGAGTAAGATCTTCCATCTGCTACTTCACTCCCCAAGTAGACCCGTGGGAGGAACTGAGGTGACACAATCCTATGAGCCAGGAGCTTTTCCGGGTCTCCCAGATGGGCACAGGGTCCCAAGGCTTTCGTTCACTCTCAACTGATTTTCCAGGTGACAATAAGGGAACGGGAAGGGAAGTAGAGCAGCCAGGATATGAACTGGTGCCCTTATGTTATCCTGGTGGATGCGGGGCTACAATTTAGCCACAGCACTATCTCGCTGGGCCCTAGGCAAATCCATCTTTATTGGGATCACTAAATGGTGATTATAGTTTTAGAAATGTGGGGGCCAGCCTTGCGAAACAGCAGGTAAAGCTGTTGCTATGACAGCAGCATCCTATATTGGTGTACCAGTGATGTTGCTTCTGATGTAGCTCCATGCAATGTGTCTGAGAAAATGGAGGATGATGGTCCAATGCTAAGCTCCAGGATCCACATGGAAGGCCAGAGGAAGTTCCTGACTTCTGGCTTGCATATGGCTCATTCCTAGTGGACTGACCCAACTGTGGAGTGAATCAACAGGCAGAAGATTTCTATGCCTATCCCTCTCTATATCTTTGCCTTTATAAATCAATTTGTATCATGGGATGACACTGTGGCTCAAGTATCTAATCCCCCTCCCACAAGTGCCAGTATCCCTCATGACACTGGATGGTGCTGTGGCTTCACCAATATCCATCTAGCTCCCTGCAAGTCGCATGGGAAAACAGTGGAGCACAGCCCAAAAATTTGCATCCCCATAATCATGTAAGAAACCTGGAAGAATGTCCAGCGTCCTGGCTTTGGATCACAGCACCTGTTATGGTTGTGACCATGTGTGGGGAGAACCAGCAGATGGAAGATTATTCTCTCTGCCTCTCCATTCTGTAAAGTCAGCTTTTATAAAAACAAACAGACAAAGAAACAAACTTAAATATGCACATGAATATGTCAGCATATTTACAACATCAACAAATAATATGTTTAGTTGGATTTTCAACTGCTCCGCAGCAATCCAGCTCCCTGACAATAAACTAGGGAAAAGAGCAGTAGATTGAGGAGTCCTAGAAGAACATCCAGGCTCCTGGCTTTGATCTGAACTAGTCTCAGGTATTGCAAACAATCTGAGAAACCAGCAGGCGAAATGTGCTCCTTCTATTGCTCCCTCTCTTTCTCTCTTGCTTTCCTCCCTCTCTCTGTCTCTCTTTCTCCATATATTTCATTCTAATCAGTATTGAAATCAATCATCAATTAAAAACAGCCCCCCCCCAAAAAAAAAACTCAACACATTGCTGCAAACCTGTTAGTAGATCCTGTCTGAAATAGGAACCAAATATTTAGTTTAATCATTCACTCAAGTATTCAGAAATGGTTTTAGTGCAGGAGAATATAGATTGTGAAATTTGAAACTATCACAAAGATAAAAAGTTCCAACAATTAGGTGAAAGAACAACAAGAAATGACCCTCAGTTCCTAGCCCCTTGCTCTCCTAACATTGACAATGGGCCTTGGCTAATTTTGACTGAATTCAGATTCTAAGCTGCAAACTGAATATTGGATCACTCTACCAAAACTCAGGATATTAGGAGGAAAGTCCCCATCAATAAACAAAGTACCTTTTTTAACCCAGAGTTCAAGGCTGTGACACCCAGTGCCAGTGCTAGGCAACATCAACCTTTCCACAGACCTGAAAGCACTCCCTGTGCATTGGAAGGTACTCTGGCATATGCAACAATGTAAGCCTTGGACAGGACATAAGATGCTGACAGGGTTGACCTGTGACTGTATCTGTGCTTTGGTCTTTATGGCAGAATAGAAGAATCATATCTGATTTTTTTCCTTTAGAAAATGGATTTGGACATCCTACACCAGGTTCAGCAAGAACTCTCTTGTGCCATCTGCCTCAACTACATGATGGACCCAGTCACCATAAACTGTGGGCATAGCTTTTGTAGGCCCTGTGTCTGCCTGACCTGGGAAGAAGCCAAATCGCCTGTCCGATGCCCAGTGTGCAGAAAACCAGCACGAAAGAAAGACTTCAAAACCAATGTTCATTTGAAGAATCTGGTTTCCATTGCCAGACAAGCCAGCATAAAGGACTCCCAGAACTCTGAGGAGGGCATGTGTAGCACCCACACGGAGACCAGGAAGATATTTTGTGAAGAAGACAGGAGCCTGCTCTGTGTGCTCTGCTCTGACCCTCAGGAGCATGCTGGTCACAGACACTGTGCCATTGACATAGCTGCAGAGAATAGCAGGGTAAGTGAGACTGAGACCCCTGAGTAGTGGAGGATCATAGACTCAAGCTGTTAATGAAGAACATCCTGATGATGATGAATGCATTCTGCATTGAACGTCAGGAACGGTTCCAGGTAACACCAAGGAAATCAAAATCAACATTTGTGCTTACTGGTGTGCATCAACACCTCCACATGACAGAAGGGAGCACCTGTGTACAATTCTTTGTTCTGCGTGTTAATTCCAGCATTCAGTTAACATGAAACCAGGAAGCAGCAGTAGCAGCTCAAGGAGCAGGATTCCTGAGACACCCAGATAGAAACACAAAAACCAGTGCCTGGTTTCCACCTTCTGGGACACATCCCCCTGCCAGTTTCTGGACAGATGGGATTAAATAGAGATGCGTATAAGCACTCTTTTCTTCTCTGGGTTTGAAACAGAGATAATCTTCTAAACAACTGAATCTGCTTCCCCAAGAGGGCTGGGAGAATGATGAACATAATGCTCATTTAACGTCTGTGACTCAACATGAGTGTTGGTAGAAAGTACTCAAGATCAGAAAGAGTATCTGGCTACTAGGCCAATTCCTTAACATGTATTAGTGATACTATTTACTAAAACTGCAATGAACAGGATAATTTGTGCTAGAACTGATGGAGAAACAACATCAGCACATCCAAATTCTGTTGCAAAGCTGACATATGTATTCAATCTCAAACACGCTCGTTACTTAAATTAATTTCCCCGTGAACATGATCGGTTTACATTTTGGCATCTAAAGTAGAAAGCATTCCAAAATGCATGATTGTAATGGCACTGATGGAAATAGGCTGTTTCTGCATGTAGGGATATGCTTTTATCTCAAAATTCTTAGTTGTCTCCATCACTTTTGGGTCCCATATCTAAACCCCTCAAGCTTCCCTATTGCTCAAATTCAGATCTTTTTCAGGAGATGCTGGTGAAGCAAATGAGATCATTATCGAAACAGATGCAAGAAAACCAGAGGAACCTGAATGAGGAGAGCATAACACTCTCTGAGTGGACGGTGAGTAGGAGACCGTGTTTCCTTCTCAGCAGCCTGAAACAGACCTGATAGACAGTGGACGTTCATCAACAGAGGCACAACACTCGGGTTCACAGGGAAGATTTTCTGATAATTGTTTGCATGGAATATGATGATAAGTGTAGTCTGATGTTTAGAGAGAAAGGTTTCACATGATATTTTTAACTTGTCCAAGCATCTGAAGGTTGCCTATGATGATTCATGGACAAATTCTAAGTCCAAAAGATTCACATGAAGTCTTTTGGGCTTGAGAGATCATCTTTCAAAAGACACTAGCAATGAAATGTTCTCTCAAGGTCTTTCAAGAACTGTAGGTGGATGAAAATGGTTTGAGCGCAAATGGGATGGGCTCATTGTCCAGTTCATAATGAGTAGAGAATGAATGAAAGCAAAGAGAAAAATATTTGGCTTCTGAGAGTCAGAGGATAGCAGCTTATTGTCAGAAGGTATGAGTCCAAGTGAATGGGAGAGGCTGAAGGGGTAAAGGATGAAGTCGGCCTGGATATGTGACCTAGGAAATCTGTGTGTCCCCATAGCTGTATGTGTCTCGGCAGAGAGAGAATATCAAGGCGTCTTATGAGATGCTGCATCCAGGCCTGCATCAGGATGAAAAACAACACATGGACACACTTCAAAAACAAGAGAACAGTATTTTTCAAAAACTTAAGAAAAGCAAAGCCAAAATGGTTCTAAAGAAGAAAAAGCTAAGACAAATATATGAAGAACTGATGAAAATGTACCATCAACCAGACATGGAGCTGCTCCAGGTAAGAAATGAAGTGTGCTGTGCCTTACCTTTGAGTCCATTATTCATTTTTATATGTAAAATTGTATAGTGTAAGTGATAAACAAAGTGTATGTCAGAATACACATCACATTTATTAGCCTAGTTTATGCTGATGGTTCAAAATTACTCAGCCAGAAAAACAGAGACCCAATAACTCATCTTTTTCTGAACAATCTAGTTCTATGAGATTCTGACATTGCATTGCACAAAGAACATTTTCTTCTAAAAGTTGCCTCTTTTTTGCATGTTTCAGATGCATAGGCTCTGGATTTCCCTCACCCCATCTCCAAGTCTCCTACCTCCACTCTTTCCCCCATATTAGTACAGTACTATAGGCCTTCAGAAACAGTCCTATGTCCAAAGAAAACATTGCCTTTTGAAAGTGGCCTTTTACAACTCATTCTCTGGACACAGAAAAATGGTTTACTCACAAAGGGTCTGTAGCTTCCTCCATTGTGCACCTCAGAGACGTTTGTAAAGGACCAACATTTTCCCTTTCTTATTGAATGCTGTTCCAAGTTGCCCTTAAGCTGAGGGGTGTTACCATTTGGGGTCAAACTAGGAAGACACTTGCAACCAGCCAGGGATTCACAGCAATGCACTCACTACCCAAGTGTTTATCCTAACTGCTGAGTTAACTTAATTATAATTTGGTTGTGTGGATATATCGGGAGGGGGTTCTATTAGGGGATCAAAGGGGAAATGACCAACAGGGAGATTGGGGTGAATAAATATGGTTGGTAATTCGTGAGAATCAATGCCTGGATAGGCAGAACAGCCTTTATCTAATGACATCTGAGCATTCTTTCTTTCATTACAGAAATTGGGAGGAGTGTTGAAAAGGTACGTTTCACCTTCAGTACAAACTTGGGGCCACTGCAGCATTATGTGAGTGAGAAAGCAGTTACTAACACAGTAAACACAACCGTAGCAAAGATACTCAACTTATTTGTTTGGCTGATATGATTTCTTTTGTCAAAAATAAGCTTTCTTTGTTTGTGGCTTAGAGACCTGTAGACCTTTCTAGAAAGAAAGTACCCAAACATTTAGATTTCAAATTTCAATCACATTGAAATGCAGAAGATTGTGTTGTAGATTTAGTTTAAGTAGATGTTCCAGCTCAGCAATGAGGGAAGTTGGAAATACAGACAAACATAACCTCCTGGGAATGGCACAATCTTACCTCATGAGTGTGGATGAACAGCACTGTACCAGAATACAAACTGTCAGTGCAGTGATTATACTTGTTAAAAGTTCAGATGGAGGCTTTGCTACCTGAAACAACAGTATCTTCTTCTTTCTTGCAGGTGTGAGTCATTGCAGCAACAGATGCCTCAGCCTGTGCACCCAGAGCTCAGGGCCCCATCCATACCCGGCCTGATAGACTGGCTCAGGCAGTTCCAAGGTGAGGGTCAGCTCACTAACATCATCTCTCACCAATCTTCCCCTCTTAGGCCTTCATTCAGAGCAGGGAATAGAAACTTAATTGCCATTTATAATTACATATGGTGTTGTGGCCCTCAGGATCCTAACAGAAGGCACAATGAGTGCTGCTGTACTACTAAACATTAAGCAGCCACGATAACAATATTTTTTTCTCATGGAAAAAGAAACTCAAAAGAGGGTTCATTGTTAGAAAGTCAAACTATTGGAAAGTCAACCAAAAGTGCGTCAGTCTAAAATGCATTAGTAGTTTTGTCATTGGATCATTAACTTGATATTGAAAAATCAATATGTTTAAAAACTGACTTTATTATTGCTTGTCAATTGCATTTGCAACATATGTGAGTCTGAACACAATGACAATATATGAAGGAACAAAGTGAATAGTCATAGAACACCCTTCCAAGGACAACAATACTAAACTCAGTTGTTGCTGCTTAGGCAATATGAAGAACGCCACAGTGGACCTCAACCTGGAGGGTCATTTATTAGAAGGAAGACTAGTGAGCACTTGCATCAAGGTACACAGGCAGAATGTTCTTAGAGGGAATCCATTTCTCAGAAGATGTATTTATACCTTATTGTTAAACACATTTCCTTGTTAGAGTAGGATAGAATGCAATTCCTGATAGTGATTACCATTTATAATTCCCTATTGATATTATTGCAGAACATTTTGAATTTTTTAATTATATTTTTGACAATCTTTACATAGTTAATTTGGGTAAAAAGATTCAAGGGCTATAGGAGAGTGGGTAAGACTATTATCTCCATGTTGTTTCTTGAATGTTTAAAGGAGGTATTAAATGAGAAGGCCCACCCAATTTCCCTCCCTCCCTATTCTTGGAGAACATTTTAAAGAATACTTTGAACTCTTCTGCTCCTTCTACAGTGGACATTTCCTTCCAGTATGAAATGACCAGTCACTTCCATGTGAGAAGGCTCATGTTTGGATACGACCACCAAGGCTCAAAGCTGAACTCTGACAGATTTGATTATGCTGCTGTCTGGTCAAAGCAGAACTTCTACCATGGAAAATACTACTGGGAGCGGGACATGAAAGACTCTTACGACTGGGCTCTAGGGGTCTGCAAGGATCCTGGCATCAGGAACAAGGGCGAGCTTATGGAATTGGAGGGCTCATTTCTTCTTCTTTGTTCGAAGGACATGAGAAGCTACAAACTCCTAACCACTTCCCCTGTGATGGCTCACTATGTAGAGAAACCTATGAGCAGAGTTGGTGTGTTCCTTGATTTTGAGAGGGGAAGTGTGAGCTTTGTGGATATTTCTAGAAGCTCTCTTATATGGAGGTATCCCGATTGCTCGCTCTATTTTCCTGTCAGGCCTTTTATTTTCACTCGCCACATGTGAGGAGAATCATGCTGGGATGTGACAGTGTGACTCAGCTTAACCTGCTAATCACTGGAGCCGGAGGAGGCTTGTGGATGTCAGAGGAATGTCACTTCATGGCTGACGTGTCTATGGGTCTCTTCCTCCACCTCTGGGAAGAACAGAACTTGGATGATGGCATTTGCCCCTCATTCACTTATCTTATATATGTATGATATATTCTGTGCAATATATGTATGAAACGGTAGTTATTCCTATGAAACCATTCTCTAGGGTATGGCTAATTGGTTTGTGTTTCCTTTCACAATGTTATTGATTTGCTGCTACACTTGTATTGTAATAAATAAGTCTAACGGCAATCTTTTGTGTTACTGTTATATATTTATACATAAAATGGAAGAATCAGATAGCAATGCCTAAATCTGCAGCCTCTGAAATCTCCTCCTCTAATTTGAAAATAGGTTTTTTGTTACTAAGGTCACCTACTGAGCATAGATCAGGCATTCTGCTAACATCATACAAGAATCAGAGAGCCCCGCCACAGTAAAGAATTATCTCACCCCCACAATAATAATTTCTGCTGTCAAAAATCTGCAATATACTTCACAGCTTAGATTTTAATAATGAGACTTAGAATGAGCCATGGGTGGCAAGAACGGGCGGAAAGTGGAGGCTGCATATGGACCTCTTGGTGATAGCAGAGAACAGCAGAACAATCATTTATTTGCTTCCCTAAGCAGCTCCTGTGCTCATGCAGAAGTTGCAGGCCTTCCAGGCTTGTGGTTGAGGACCACACACCTAAACCCTGGTGAAGGCATGCAGGCAGGCATTAGAAAGGATACGGTGGCCACTGGTAGTGTACTCTATGCTGCAGACTCTTGGAAACACGGAAGCGTCAGCATCCCTCACAGGTGCTCTGTCCTGGGGAGGAGAAGCTGCACCTCCCACCTTCCCTCTTCCCTGCCAGAAACTAATCAAGCCTCTTCTGAGTTTCTTCCTCAACTTCATGGTCCTCTTCCCAGTGACCATCTCGTTTCTAGCTCAGCTCTTCACAGCCTCTCTCTACAGGACACCATGTGTGCCTTGGCTCTTCCACACCTACAGAGAGGAAATCACATCCAGTTTGATACTCTGGCTGATCCAAGGGACATCCATGAAGGCCAAAGAGGGTTGACAACACAGACTCTTTCCATCTCCAGGCTAGAGAAAAAGGCTTCTGCCTCAGCCACACATGCCTTTCTTCTGGCTCTTTTGGCCTGCAGAAACAGACGCTCCATTTCTTCCAACCGTCCTCAGTTGGGCAAAACCCACAAGCAGCAGGGCACAGAGGCAGCTTCACTAGATGTACAGTTGGCTTTTCACTGTCCCTGTTCTGGTCCCAGGATTAAGCATCCCAGAGCTCCTCCAGCTCCACCTAGCGGCGCAGGGCTGCTCCTGCAGCTATCCCACAGGCGCCTGTGGTAGTCCAAGGGAGGAGGAGATGGATGCAGAGCTGAGGGCGGGTCCAGGGCGTGGTTCTCAGACCTCCCAGCTCCATCCCAATCCTATCCACCCATGGCTGGGACTGGGAGGAGCCGGACTCGCCCTGAGGGAGGATTCTGCCTGGAATCTCACTGACTGTGCAGCAGGAGCTGATTCCGGAGAAACAGCAAGGTCAGGGAATTCGCAGAACTAGGATCTTGCCAGAAAGATACTCCAGCCAACAGCGAATTAATTCATCATGTAACTAAAAGGCCATTTCCACTGAACCTTAGGAGACCCACTCACTTCCAGCTGCAGAGTTTGAGAAAGAGTCTCAAGGACACTGCCTGTAGCTCTCCTGAACACACAGGGTTTCTTGCTATTCCAGAAGATTTTTTCTACCTCCTGCAAGATTTCTCATTGACCCCGCTGAAATCCCGTCCACTCTACAGACTGTGCTTCTTGTGGAAATTCATCCAAGTGATGGAACCAGAGGTGTCTCCGTCTGTCCACAGACTCTGCTGAGATGGAGACCTTGAGAGAGCAGACCCTGCCCTGCTCCCTAAGTCCCTGGGTCTGTCCTAAGAATCACCTGCGTGTGCTCACCACACAGAGGCAGCCTCTGTCAGAAATGAATTTCTGGCACAATCATCTACCTCGTTTCTGTTGATAATTTAAAAGGTTTATTAAGGAAGAGGAGGAAGCCTGGATGACAGGTGCAGAGGAAGTAGGGAGGAAGGGAAATTCTATGGGAATCCTGTGTGAATAAAGTGAATGAATAATAACTGAGGGTTGCTCCAGTAGCCTTGCCAGCTAAACCTCTGCCAGCCACACTCGCTTCCCCTATGGATATTGAATTGTATCCTTGTGGCCCTAGTTTTATTCCATTTCCTACTAGTAGCTTGAGAATTGAGCCCCTGCACCTGTGAGGAAGACCCAGAGGGAAATTTCTGGCCCCTTTCTTGGATAAGCTAAGCACCTGCCACTGCAGCATTTGGAGAGTAAACCAGTGGCTATGACACCCCTTCATGCTTTTTCTCTACGTTTTCCTATCAAACCTGTCCTAATTGAAAATTAGAACAATAATAATAATTTAAAAATTAACATTGATTAGAAAGAGCATGAGCACAGAGAGTCTTCTATCCACTAGTTCAAGGTAAAGGACAGTATGTTTGTTTACAAAGACTTGAACTTAAGCATAACCAAAACCTTTCCTATACTAGCTCACAAGTGAGGGGGAAAACATCCCAATGTCGCCTCATTGTTACTGCATTGTAAAAATGTGGTATATTTACATACTGCAACACTGAGCAGGAAAACAAGTAAGTCATCCGTGGCATGTTCTTACATGCTGCAGAATGAATGAGCTCATGAACTGGAATTGAGGTTCAATCTAAGGGCTGAAAATTTAAGGATTCCTATAATCTAAACTAGGATCAATTCAGGGAGACATACAATAACGCTTAAAACTGGTAAAGGATAATGTTCCAGAATATGAGAGAAAGGAGTTTATAAGAAACGTACATCCAGCCTATCCATGTGAAAGAAGGATCCCGAGTACAAGGATCCATCAATGTGCGCAGAGAAGGATGCTCCTGTTATCTGGGAATCTGCTCTGGAACTGTCCTGGATCCAGACTTCCAGCGTTAGAATACAAACATTTCACTCTAAGGGAATGGGATTCAACTGACCAGATGCTTGTTTTCCTGGGACTTTATGGAAATGCTGTGGGGAACTATTTAATAAAACACATACATTCCAGAGTTCTGAACTTGTCAAATCAGTGAGGAGCAGTCCAAAGAGGGAAGGGACATCATGGGAAACCTACATGAAGTGACAGAGGAGAGAGAAAGAGAGAGAGAGAGAGAGAGAGAATGTCTGTCTGTCATGGCTCAGAACATCCTCTTACATCTTAACTTCTGAAACGTTCCATGGATGATGGAAAAGTAGCAGCCGTACCTTCTCTGGCCCTCCAGAAATTTCCAATCCATCCCTCACCCACGCCACTGGTAGAGAAGCTAAGGATTCCTGGCTCCGGGAATATGTCCTGGTGTCTTAAATCCCAAAATCCCTGTGTGACCCAGGCAGCTACGGAGCGGCTTCTTCCTGGATTATTTACATAACACTGTATTTTATCAAACAGGTCAATTCCTCTCTTTCAAATTAATATATGTTCTATATGTGTGTGTTTCTGTGTGAGTGTGTGTGTGTGTATAAATACACAAACCGAGAGAGTATCCCTCTGATATTTATTTCCTGATGCATTATTTCACTCAATAACAAATTTCTTTTTTTTTTTTTTAAGATTTGTTTTATTGGAAAGTCAGATATACAGAGGGCAGGAGAAATAGAAAGGAAAAGCTTCTATCCGTTGTTTCACTCCTGAAGTGACCACAACAAACGGTGCTGCGACGATCTGAAGTCAGGAGCCAGGATCTTTCTCCAGGTCTCCCACATGGGTGCAGAGTCCCAAGGCTTTGGGCCATGATTGACTGCTTTCCAAGGTCACAAGCAGGGAGCTGAATGGGAAGTGGATTTGTCAGGATTAGAATTGGCACCATGTGGGATCTCGGCATATTGAAGCTGAGGAATTTAGTGGCTAGGCCACCACGCAGGACCCAATAACAAATTTCTTGATTTCTGTGACTTTACCCCAAATGTCAACAACAGCCAGAACCGCCGACCAGCACTCCCACTGGGGTCCATGGCCAAAGCTCTTGAGCTACCTTCTCTGGAGCTAGCCGGCAGAGGATTGGCTTAATGAAGGGGCTGTTAACGCCCTGCATAAGATTGATAACAATCTCATCAACATGAATTTCTGAATCTGCTTTACATAAATGGTAACTTTACAGAGGCATATCTCTCATGGAATTGACAGAGTTGGCTATGTATTTTAGAGTAAAAGAAGATCCTCTGAAAGTTGTTTTGTTCTCTACAGATTTCCAAACCCAATGACTGTATTAACCCTAACCTGGCTAGAACAATACACATCTGAGGACACTGTACATGGAAGAGACAAAACACCACATTTTCTTGGTTTGTGGTTCCATGAATGTGTAGAACTAGAATATCAGGTGGGTAGGCCCAGTGTTCTGGAGTCTGATGAGTGATGATTGGTGGGTCAGGTGCAGTGAAGAGTCCTGTCATCAGTCGAAATTCCAGGAGCAGCAGGGTCCAGGACAGCCTCAGGATAAAAGGAGCAGGAATCAATGGCAAAGGCCTCACCCTGAGAACTTAATCCTGTCTAGTCTGTTTCCACTTTAGGTACCAGGATTGCATCATTTCCATGCAAAGGACTAAGACTGTAGGCATAAATCCATCCATACTCTCTCAATTCATAAGAGTAACACACTAGGAAAGAAAAGCATAATGGTTAGACAATAAAATGAATGCAATTGATTGGTTCCCAGACTCACAACCTATGGAAGCTCCATTATTTCAGGGTTTGTAATAATACAAAGAACTTTCATTCTATGGCATTAATTCTCTTCCAAATGCTTTATGGCAAAGGGGAGAAGATAATGGTCTTATCTCAAGTGATATGGAAGCAGAAATGGGAT